CATGTAAGCTGAACAATAGTGTGGGAGAGTGAGTAATCAAGGCTTGCGTGGCGCTCAAACAAAAGACGAATCGACGAGATTTGAAAATCGCGTAACTTCGGGTTCGCGTAAGTCGGGGTATTACTGTATGTAGGCCTATATGTACTGTATATGTAGTCGTAAATTAAAAGGTACCAGCAGTGCCGGCCTGAGCCAAGTTTTAGGATGAAGAGAGATCCTATTATGGCGCTCCCGAAAATATCGAAAAGTGAAAAAAATATTTTTTTCTTTAATTTTCTTTACCACTGAGGCGTCCCCTAGGACTTAGCGGCTGCTCCGTTCGCTCTATGGTAGGCGCCGCGCCGTTTAGATACCTGGTACAGTACCAGGTTCCTAAACGGCGCGGCGCCCCGATTTTGAATCGCTGCTGTCTGTGGAGGCGTCACCGTCTATGAGTTTTGTATTGGCAAAGCTAAACTTTGTGAGGCAATATCTGCAAAACAGCGTAAATGCGCCAAAAACGACCTAAATATTCATAATCAACGCAAAAAATTGTGCAAGAAGTAATTTTCTGTTTTTTGCCGAGGTACTGTACATAGACTTTTTTTATTCTTTCCGCCCTGTGGGCAATAAGAGGGCCTTATTTAGCAAGCTCATTATGATCAGGAACACAATGGGGCAACCGGGTGATTGTACTATAACAAACTAACTATTAAATATTTTTATAAACGCAATTATTTACGAGTGATTATTGTGACCATGTCACAAAACGTGACATGGTCACAATGCTGGGCTGCAATTTTCAATATTTTTATCTAATTTAAAATATATGCTCTCCAACTCAAATTAGTAGTGGCTTGCCCCTGTACATCATACTTTTCCTTTAACAATAGACTCGGACCGCGGTCATCTAATACCTATCGGGAAAATTTTTGAATTGAAATAACATGATTTTCGGTTTGTATCGGACCTTCTTATATAGTTAATCGGGACTTCCTGCCTCTAAGATTTCCATATCTGGTTTTGTCTTTCATCTAACTCCTTTCTGGAGACTAAAAAAAACAGACGGACGACAGTGGGTATTTATAGTCCTACAATTTTTTCAAATCGCAGCCCAATAACTTTATGTTATCAAACTAAGAATGAATTAAGCATGCGCGATGTAACCTACAGGATCTCGAGAGTTAGCTGGGATGTTTAAAGACTGGTTCTATTAGAGTATGAAACTGCTTTATTTTACAAAGATACAAAATATACAGTAAACAAGGCTATAAAACAATTAAATCGATCGTTTCAAATAACTAAAATCAACGTCAACTTAGCAATATAGAAATGCTACCTAACAGTTCACAACTTCATTCCTCTGCTACACAGACTTCTACATATGCAGGAACGATACAATTGCTTCGAATAACGAAAATTATCAATGGGAGCGATCCCTTGTTCAACTTATTTAAACAGTATAAAGAAATCAGTAACGTAATCAGAACCAATATTAGGGAGTATTAGAACGTGCGAACCTACATCCATCGCTGTATCACTGGATGTAGCCACTAGCGCTATGGATGAAGATATATTGTATGTATAGACCTACTTATAGGCCTATATTATACAGGCTAATCCTCTGGTACAGCCTTCTTAACTTTTACAGTACATACTCTTAAATATTGTATAGGCTATAGTCTACTTATATATAGCCTATGTGTTTGTCACATTCAAATCTTTTCCTTACATGAATTTTCTTAATTTATTTACAGATAAGGTTATTGTAGCTCCCTGGTCCTCTATCTGGTTACACTACCGAAAGAAAAGAGAGTGACGTAAACAGTAAATTTGAATTTGATTTGTTAACGTATATACAGTACTAATTCGCAACGGACTATACGGCCATTTTTAATTTTTCCCATTTCGGAAGGATCTGACTTTCAAATAGTTTCTGTCAATATGAAAATAATTCTTTCGCCGGAATTTTGAAAAATAACCAGCTCAAACCAAAATCTTATGAAATAAGAGAATTCTTAACCGCTTGTCATTTCGACATAAGATTTAAGATATAAATACAGTATAATTACGAAACCAAGTTTATCAGTAAAGTTTTTTTTCTTCTTTTTATTTCAAATTTTCTTAGAAGACTGGCAGCGTGAAAGTGAGTTGTTTTCCATTTAGGAACATTCCAGTCGCCATTCGATCGTATATAACTTACACTATTCTATTTTCGATATTCTTTTTTTAACACAGAAATGAAAGGAATGTAGGAAATGAATAGTTATATTTCGATAACAGCACGGAAGACACATATGGAACGTTCGAATTCGCAGCTTACTCTCTCAAACTTTCTATCTTCCGGATGAACTAAACAAACTCATAGTATTTCAAAATTTTTTTTTATTTTAACCTTCTTTTTATGTTCTTTTCAAATGAATTTTTTGTATCGTATTTAAAATGTTAAATAGAACCGGTATGTTTATTCAAATGAAAGAAATTAATGAAGCATTTCGCTGGTGAGTCACATTTTCCATTGTCTGCAGTTTAGCGGCAACATAAAATTTACTGATATTTTCGAATACGGATGATGGATCAACAGCATTTTTTGTCAATCACGTTTTATAGACTAATTTTAAATGTAATCTATGTAATTTGCCTATATCGGACCGAATGTTTTTTGTTAACAATAATTTAGCCTTTTGTAATTACGTGAAATCCGCTAGTTTTGCGATTACGGAATTACACTCAAAATTTACAATAAGAATTTATTGGTGAAGAGATGTGTTGAAGGTCGAATAGATGAGGCAGGCCAATGCATTAAATCTGGAAAATGATCTAGAAAGTGTGCACGTCAATAGTAGTTGTGGAAAATAACCTGGAAAATATAGCGGCCGGATGGCCGAGCGGTCAAGGTGGCAGCTTACCGCTCTGGGGGTCCCGGGCTCGAATCCGAACGGGTCGAAAAATCCCCAGGAATTTTTCGGGGTTTGATCCGTTCGGATATGTCGGGCCCCGTCCCTCACCACCCAGCAGCACCATTGTGGGCCTGGACGAACCCATAATGGGCTTGCAAAAAGAGGCCCTCTTAATGCCCACAGGGCAGAAAGAGTTAAAAAGAAAAAAACCTGGAAAATATGACGAAATTGACACTGTTTTACCTATTAGTTCTCTCTGAATAAGGGTATGTTGGTTGGGTCCTTTGATATGTATTGTACAATAATAATCTTGGGCAGATTTTTTATATACTTATAGTTTTTAATGGATTTTAAAAAACAAAGCAATTTTTTAAAATGGGAACATGTAGAAGAAAGAAAACTGGAATGTTTAGAATGGAAAACCTCAGACGATGGAAAACAATTAATTACGATTACAATCTAAACGAGTCAAATAATGAATCACGAAATAATTTATTAATTGTTATTATTGCGATTAGTGATCAATATTTCAATCAGATCATTTCTTTGAATAGGAAATTGTCTGAATGTAAATCTAATTTAATCATAAAGTCTATAACGGAATAAGAGATTTTATGTATTAATGATTATCTCTTACATTATAAAATAACAGAATGCAACTCATCGAAAATTTCTTGCAGCCTAGCAAAAAAAAAAAAAAAACCAAACGAATAAAAACCAGAGATAAGCATGTTAAATCAGTGGTGTTAAATGCACTTTAAGAACAATTCTGAGTAGCAGGCAAAAACCAGGTAAGGAATAATAGTTGCAAGTATACATATTATAACAAAATACAACAAATAAAAACTATATCAGAATATATCACAGTGCTATACCAGAATATCTTTATTGGAGTTCTACATATTGTTGCCTCATTATCTACAGTATTTATATAATGTGGCAATAAAATGCAGCATTCCGATACAGATGATCACGTGTCGATTGATTAAGTTAGAATCTAGTAAGTCTAACGTAATATTTTTATAATTGTTGTAGTGATATTATGCTATCCAGTGTTTTTAATTAAAATAACCCAACGAATAGTTTTTCTAAACGATCCGCGTTTTATCCACCAACAAACTTTAATAAAAAAATCTAAAATCATTTTATTCATAAGTATTTTCTATCTGGAATATCTACGTAGAGCTATTCTATATTCAGAATATCTGCGGGCCTCATTCTTTATAATACACTATTCCAACTCTTCTAGTTAGAAAATCGAATAATTAATTAGAATAGTTTTTAAATTATTTGTTATTCCAAACTAATTTTCCTTGTTGTATTTCATACATAAAGAAAACAAATACTTTATTGAATGGTAAATTTTGAGGCAAATTACATGATGATGGGCAAGAAAAGTCTCAATGGATATATTCATGTTGATATTTTCGTTATTTCTTTTTTTTTTTTTAAATAAATTGTATACTATAATTTTCTTTATGAAAATTATTCGTGTAAGTCAAATCCAACTCGTATTCTTCTATGCTGTAACGACATAAAATCAAACCAGTAAAGCACTTAATTTCAATCGTAAATTCTTTTAAAATAAAGAATTCAAAAATGGTTTATTTTAACTGGTTTAGAATTTAATTCAGGACAAAAAAAAATGTATAAATATAATCCGTTTATCTTTAAACTTAACCGGTTTGTTACAATCATTGTCGCAACAAAATGGTGAAAAAATAGTCTAAGATATTATATATATTTTTATTATTATTTTATATCAAATGATAGGACTATATAAAAAATGTATAACTGAAACAATACATTTAACAAGGAATGTTTATTAATTAATGACTTCAAATATTTTACCGGTTAAAAAAAGAAATTCCGATTATACTAGATTTTCTTTTAATACTGTTTTGGAATTATTGTTTCGTACAATTGAATATAATAATAAACGATGAGAGTGCGGGAAGATAAATTTCGTGAAGATTCATGCAGTTAAATAAGAATTTTATCGATGTAGAATCGTCATTCGGATGATGATTTATCTACATTAATTATGATGATAAGAAATGACGTATGAAGCTATCATATTGTTCGGCGAAAATTCGTTTGTTACGTTAAAAAGTTCATATGTACACACGAAGGATACGAAGTGAGCGTAAATGTGATTTGTTTTAAAATCGTCCACCTCCGGATCTCATTCGCAGTTTCCAACACAGTAAACAATAACCTATTATTCTCAAGACAATAAATAAAACGACTAAACCGACAAAACAAACGTAAAGTTCGGCATTTTCGATTCCCATCAGCTTCAGAAATTTATAAGGATCGCGAAAATAACATAAGGTATCGCATTCCATTTTCGGTCGGTTGAAACCGTACAAAGTGAGCATGAATCCTTCGTAAGAATAACGGAAGAATGAAGTGTAGGAGAACCATCGCAGGTACATGGGCATGGATTTGAGACTGATGAAGAATCCGCAGAAGAGAGCGAAAGGGATGCAGGCCACGGGAGCTATGAATACTGCAGTCTGAAAGAAAAAAAAAAAAATATATATATACATACGTCAGATGGAAATGTATCCTTCTTAAAATAACTCTATTGTCATAGCGATTAGCCTACTTACGACTGCGGAGGTAATTGCCCCAATTGCGATCACCAGCGACTGTCCTACCAGAGAAGTAAGTACGCAAAAACACAGGAATAAACAAAACCTCCACGTGTCTGACGGCTGTCCCGTCATCCAATAAACGATGCTTCCGTACATGACAGGAAACACTATCTGTAAATAATTATTTATCCATTAATATAAGCGCTCGAAACACAGCTTCCTATCGACATTTTATTGTTCCTTAATCGGTTACGCCTTGAAATTTTTATTGCGAAATTTTGCGATAAGTGTAATTACAATTTAAGATAGATTTGGACATTTTCTGATCAAGGAAATTTTTTTTATTTATTAAAAATATAATTATTAATTCAAGAAGATAGTTAATTTTTTCAAACAACACCAAACATAAATGATATAAATTACATTTTAAAAGCATTTAATCACAAAAATAAATGCAATGAAGCTCAATTAAAAAGAAATTCAATTTTATGATTTAGTTTCCTTCTCTTATATTTTAAATAATTAAAAAATGAATTAAAAATAGAATTTAATGTTACCTGAAAAGGCATGTCTGCTAACGTCTTGGCCAAGTAGTACGTTTTTGTGCTGTACCAACCATTCAAATGCTCTCGAAAGAATCCCGATCTTTCAGAGGGAACTAAAAATTGAAAAGAATTTAATTAATTTTTAAACTTAAAAGATCCCAAAATGTTTTAAAATTATAATTAAAAGCATATAAATGGGACTTACAAGTCAATATCGTGGGTAACATGGCCGTGAAGCAGAGAAAGAGAATAGAGAGAAAGAGGAAGGCCACGTTGTTAAAAATCTTGTCGGCAATGTTGGCAGTGTTCAAATACATCACTCCCGTTAAAAGTCCAACGCCGACGTGAGAAAAAAATCTGACTTTGGTCATCGTCTGTACAATTAAACAATTTATAATTTATCATATAAATTCTCACTAATGTTAGTATTTAATGTGTTAATTTAACGAATAATTTATAACAACTCTTAATTACTGCGATAAAAAAAATGAAGACGAAAGAATTAATGTGATCCTTACTGTTTTCTTAATTATTTATATAAAGTTAAAATACAATTAATTGTGATGCATAACATAGTTTACCTAATCAAATGCGCTCTAAAAATAAAAATAGCCGAAAGTGCTATTACTTTTTTGAACAAAAATAAACAAAGTCGTGCACACTCGTATATAATGTGTGCAGTCGGTATATTTATAAACAAGGATATTATTATTTAAAAAGAGGGAAAACGTATTACAGAAACTTACTTTAATTGCCTTACTTAAAATGAGAAATGTTAATAAAAAGAAATGAATTTATTTGTCTATGGTCATCGAAGAAGCACCGAAATTTCATTTCAACGTGAAAAAATTCAATTCCCTACACTTCAATGAATTCAATTTAAAGTTTTAAAGGGTTTCAAGGTCAGCTTTTATTCTTTCGAAATCCATTACTATCCTGGAATATTTATGAACAAATTATTATTTGTTTCGCATCTTACTTGATTACTGTTGTACTGTACCTACAGGTTACATTTTATTCTATCAATAATTTAATTTTGCTCGACAAAAACTGCAAAAATATCTATTTATCCTCAAAAACTTTACATTAAAATCTTATATTTCTGTTTTAATTTATTCCGATTCCTAATTATTAATGCATATTCTGCCAAGTACAGGCTACCATTACAATAGGTACAGTACTGAAGTAATATATGCTAATGACATGCAGACTTAGTAGTATGTGGTTTATTCTTATCTTTTCATGGTCAAATTTAATTTGAATGTTCTCGGTCACGAACATCAGCTTAATTTGAGTTGCATAATGACAAAAGGCAGAAAATAAAATTACATTGCCAAAGTTCCGAGGGAAAATTTAAAATATTTTATTAATATTTTAAATTTTCTATTTAATCGGTTTAACGATGCATAGTCGAAAAAATAATCAATTACGTGAGAGGAAAAGTAACACAAATTTAAGAATTTACTATTGCTGTATAAACCTAACTTATACAAATATTTTAAAATTTGAATTTCTGACAGCATAAGCTTAGAATGTACGTTATGGAACTGGTCACAGCTTATAATCAGTAAGCGACACGATGGAGATATTTAATACTAGTTTAGTTAACATAAACTTCCATTATATTAAAATACAGTTTGATCGTGTTTGAAGGTTATGTAGTAAAATAACAATATCGAGGTAATTGAAGTTATTTCTGTTTTCTAATATTAGTTATTCGATCTGAAATCCGAAGTCGAACCGTCGACAGCTTAAGCGATCTCAAGTTAAATTGTAGTGAAGAAAATACGGTGACAAAAGCCATTCGCATTTACCGAATGAAAATAAGGACAATGTTGGAATGAAAATCTATTTTGTTTGTTTGTTTTTCATGTATTCGAAGACGGTAGGAACAAATGCAACCAAACTCCAAAAACAAATAACTTACAGGACACGTACAGTATCTATTCAGTTGTATCAGAGTATCTATCTGTAGTATTAAAATATAACTATAATTGATTATACTCTAATACTACAGATAGGTTAGGTACTCTCATATTTACAAGCGAATAGGCAAGTTACTATACATGTCTTGTACTTTCTCGCAGTATGATAACACTACGAACAAGTACAGGGCACGTATATAGAGTTTTTCCAGAATTATTTTACAATATTATTACATTTTAAGTTGTAATTCCTAGACCAGATTTCCAAACTGATACCATTTTCCTTGTTGTATCTTTTGTAATATCATGTGACGAGTCCGCTTGTTTTCATTATAGAGAGTGAGCAATTGTTGAGCGAAATAGCTGGTGGATACAGTAAATCATTCTATAAGTGAATTCGCGTATTGGTTTTCGGCTTCAATCTTCAGAGATATGAAGTCTCAAGCAAGCTTTAAGTTCGTCAGCCATTGTTCCTTTTGGAATAACTGGCAATATTTGACAAAACTGTATCCGAAAACCCAAAACATTGTATACCAAACTGTTCTATAATAAAACCTATTTTTGAATATAGATTGTAGGAAATTAAAAAATATATATGTATAAAGGATGCAACAATATCTGAGCAATGTGTATCTCCTCTAATATATACTGTATATATATACTAAAACTTGAAATTCAATTTATAAAGAGATTTCAACTTATAGATTTACAAATATAATTTAGTTTTTAGATTTCAGTGATCTTGTTTAGTTATATGAATAATATTTATTTTCTCTTCGTAAAAAATAAATAAATAAATAAAAGAAAGTCTCAAAAATTATAAAATACAGTACATAATTTTATGAAAGAGAAGAAAATGTAAACGTGCTCTCTAATATTCTGTCAGGGGAAACATTTGCTAAATCTGGATGATTTAAGTAGTGAACTGGTTTAGCATTTACTGATAATGATCTGTATATAAAATCGATTTCACTTAACTGATCTAGTTTTATATTTGATTTTCTAGCATTAAAAATCTGTTGTCGGTATAATTTTTATGGTGTAACCTAAAAATTTATGTTTTTTAAATTTAAACGGAGCAATATTAATATAAAGATTTAAAATATTATCTACATAAGCTATCAATTTTAGGCTGTTTCGTTCAATTCCTAAGCCATTTTGTTTTCTATCGTTACAAATTTTCTTTTAAATTACTATTGATTTTTATACGTAATTAAATCAATTTTAATTAAAGTTTTATATAAGAGCCACCCGATTTTCGAGTGAAAACTTTTTTATAATCTTATACAAAATGATACATTTTCGAGTTGAAGCTGTATAAAATTTCTTTTTAAAGATTAAATTCTCTCTACAATTCGTTTATATTAATAATTGATGTAAAATACTTTATCGAATCCCTTCTCTTGATCGTTAATCTTTATCATCATTCATAATTTGATTATTTTCTTTTAAGAAATACAGTATTAACAATTATCCTACTTCATATGTAAATTTTCAATATTTCTGTTGGAAGCATCAGAAACAAAGACAATTAATTGTACGTCATAAATAATCTGTAATTAACTCACACGAATTAACATCTTTCTGTTCATTCATCACTAAAAAATACTAAATAAAAATGTATGGCATCGATTAATATTAATAGTTCATATGCTGGCGTAGATAAATTATCGAAATATTTTATTCCTTGTTCCTATGTTTTCAAAAATTGCTTGTGTCGAGATTTATATGTTGATTCTATAATTATTATCCTATAATGCAATGTTATCCTAGTTACGTTGATAGAGATAAAGTATCATAATGTAAGTGGAATTTATACACGACCATGGCTATTTATGGGATCTTACGGCTATTTAATCAAAAATTGTAATTGTAATTTATGTATAATAAAAATAGAACGACCGAGAATAGTATCTGAGATGTTGCAGCTCTTAAGATATATCACTTAAAAAGATCTGTAAGTTTGAGTGAAATGTAAATAAGTTTTCCTTTTATCAATGATTTCTCCTATTGTAAAAAAAGTTAATTTCGATTTTATTTTATTTTTATATCTTTTCTTCCTACTTCCTTCTCATTTTTTATTTACATTTTTATTTATGTCCAGCCAAAACAATACGGTTTCAAAACAAGTGTTTATGTTTTGTTTCTTGCAAAATATAATAAATAAATAAATGAAATCGTTCAAAAAGTAATGAATAAAATTGGTAAAAAGAAATGGTTTATTTTTAAACAATAAAATGAATTCTGATGAACTAATCCTAAGCTTATTTGAGGAATTTTGTATAGTCTACCTTCAAAGATAATGCAATCCCTATTTAATGCCCTTTTCGGAATTTCTCTTGCATTAAAAGAAACGTCGTTAAATATATTTCTGTAAAATGCTAGATATTTAATATTTTATCTATTTTAAAATTCTAATATATTATCAGTTTTAAGAAAGATTTTATTTAGTAAGGTCAAATTCAAGATTAAATTAAGTAAATTTTGATTTGGTATTTTTAATGAAAGTCACTACAGGCTAAATATTTTTCATAATACTAATTTAATTACGTTGCAGGTCATATATATATATATA